CAAATAATGTACTTCATTATTTTAAAGAACATAAAGATGCGGGAGGCGAATGTTCTGTTGGAAATGTGCAAATAATTTATCAGCAGAAATGGATTCAACACATTTTGCATCTTCTGTTCATAAAAGCAATGATCCGGCAAGGTAATTAAACTCATTGACTAACTGTGAGTACGAGTATTCCCACTACAGTCAATAGGGACACTCGCATGCTGCTGATCAGGTATCTAGCTGAATCCAGTTTACATTGTCCACAGAAACTCTTATTTTTTTTTCAAATGTGTATTCATCATGTGGACTAGTTTGCCCATTAAGGTCTCCAGTAGTTCTTGTCCCTACAGCATTTTCACAGCCCTTTCGTGCAAGGATTCCATGCAGCCTTGAGTGAGCCTCGTTGTCTAGGCAGACCCACACTTGCATGCCAAGTATTGACATCTGTATGCAAGTGGCTGGTGGTGCCTCTGCAGATTGCACAGCATGAGAATTGCTGTGGGGAGGGCAGGCCGAACCAGAGTTTCAGGCAGAGGGAAAGACTAGAGCGCAGTCAGAAACCTCTCATTTCCATTTCTTCCTTTTCTTTTCTCATCTCCTCTCCTCCTTTCCCCTTGTGCGCTGTCTGTGGTGCTGAATACCAATTGATTGACACTCAATGCCAATCCATTTCTGAGAAGAGCTGACGAGGCAGTGAAGATACAATCGGACTGAGCAGCAAATGTCAATTAGATGGCTTACAGCCCCTTCACCATTCCTTTCCTGGAACCAATCAAGCTCCTAAAGCTTTACTAGCACAAATGTAACCAGCCGATTTTTACTTTGGATGCTGGAATATTTGCTGAAAGTGATTTTCCAATGGTGCATTGGAGGGTGACATTCCAAATCTGTGCTGTGTTGGTTACATACCTATGCCATCAAATTGGGAAACAGAAACAATTCCCCAGAACTCATTTAGTGCTCCCACACAGTACATGTTGTGTATCAAACTGTGAGCGTCACAATCCAATCCACCGGCCCACATTGGCTCTCAGCAAATGAAGAATAAATCAGAGGCTCTTGTGATTTGCTCATGGACAACCGATGAGCAGAGGGGAGGGAATGAAATTCAGAGTCTTTATTATCCTCTGTGAATTATCGTCCTCCTCCCACACTCGGGGCATTTTGCCCTGGATTCCACTAGTAGCCAGGTCAGGACTTACTCACTCAATTCTGGATTTGAAAGTGATTCTGAGCATGAAAGAGCCATCAGATGGCCATTAAGTGCTCGGTCGTGCAAAGTGCTGAGCAGTTTGGCCCCAGACCAACAGAGCATTTAAGCACCGGTTTAACTTAAATCACATGACTCCTGCCAAGAAAGGGAAGGAGACAGCTCCCATACTTAAGAGGTTTGGCTGAATCAGGATAGCTGGCAGAACTGAGCCCCAACTGGGCCTGTTTAATGGCCAATGTGCAGGCCTGCCATGGTGGGGGAGGGACAAAGGAGGCAACTGCCCCACACCCCAGTGATTCAAAAGGGCCTGGGGCTCTCAGCTACTCTGCCATTACTGTGGCAGCAACAGTGGCCAGAGCCCTGGGTCCTTTAAATTGCCAGAGCACCGGGCAGTGCGCTACAGGCAGCTTTGAGGGCTCCTTGAGGTGGGAGGCTGCAGCACGGCATGCTTTGGGCAGCACTGAGGGCAGTCAACCACAACCCCGCCCCTTCCAGCTGAGGCCCCGCCCCTTCCAGAAGCACAGAGCTGGGCCCCCCATCACCCTGCCCAGGGGCCCAGAAAATCTGCTGCAGTGATGGGGTGCGTGTGTTGACACCCACTGACGAGGGGTATAGTTAGTTGCCACCACGCCTCTGAGCAACAATGTGCACCCAACTCCACTGTCGTGTTCAGTCTCCTTTATTTCTGCATCCTTTTACATATCACTAGTATATCATTGTAAACAGACTTCCCACAGCTGCGGGCAGAACTCGCAAGTGTATTTTGTGCTTGTCTGGTAGCGCTACCGGCCACATGCAGGAGCAGGAAAGTTATATAGCTCCAGAGGCCCCCCTCTCCTGTCAGTAATCATCTCTTCTTGCTGTTCCATTCTGTCAACTGGCCCTAGTGTGGGCTGGGGTTAAAACCAGCCCATATATGTACGGATTGGGCTCAGATCATACAGTCTCATGAAATTTAAATAGCTTGTTTTCCCCCCTTTGAATTGATTCCAGCAGAGACACTGGCCCATGATTTTAATTGCCCAAGGGTGTTAATTCACCGACTCCTTAATATCAATGCAGTGGGACTCCAGGGGAATTAATATATCTGGTCAGATTCCATGCACAGTTTTTACTCCCTTGAAGGCATCTGAGATCTAGACACGTGCTGGCAGCAGTGATACAAGTCGAGGTGGTGTGTTTTGTTGTAGGAGTGGATGGCTCACTCAATGGTGAACCTCTAGCTGCTCTCCAATGACTCAGGTTAGAACATGCCATGATTTCATTGCAGAATTGTCAGGGCCATCCCTATGTAGCCCACTCAAAGGTGGAGGGGGGGCGCTGAAGCTGGGGGAAAAGGGGTTGCCAACTCTTCTGGACTGGGTGCCACTTACTGCAATGGTGTCTCGTCTGTCCAGGCCAGGAGAGTTGGCAATGCTGGAGCAAGGCCAGGAGGGAGGTGCTCTGCTAGCCAGAAAGAAGCAGCATCTTTAATGGGAATGCGCCGCTTCTTTCCAGCCGCCCACTGAGTGGCTGCCCCTGCTCTGTCTGGGTCCCCCAGCCCCACAAGCTCTGCTCACCGCTGTTTGGTGAGTGGGGACTGGGTACTGAGCCCTGAGGGGGCAGCCAGGGAAACGGGCTGGCAGCTGCTGGATTAGTGCTGAGTTGGGGGATGGGGCTAGGAGTTTCTGGAGCCTCCAGGGGTGGCAGCCAGAAACTGAGCCTGTTTGGGGGGGGGGGGATAGGACTGGGGGCTGCTGGGACCCACAGGCAGCATGTGGCTGCATAAGACACCACGACATTTCATGCCCCACATTTTATGGTGCCCCACACTGCTGCATGTTTTGCGTATGAGTAAGGACAGCCCTGAAAATGACACAAATTTGAACTGGACAAAGAGGACACAAAGTGAGTCATGAACCTGCTAGTGTGAAATCTGTCTGGTGTTAACAAGGGGGTGAACTGAACCATTGTCTGGACCTACTCAAGTGACTGCTGCACAGTTGGTAAGACTGTTTATTAATTCCTGAAGTTTCATGATTCTTTGCACAAAGAATAATATACACAACGTGTGTTGTTTCTTACTCATTACTCACCATTTGTTATTCTCCTATGCAAAGAGCTGGTTATCCCTTCAGGAAGCAGAAGTAATACTGCATGACATGGGCCATGAAAGCAAGGCATATGAATAGCAAATAATCCAAGATGTGAACAGTTTACAAGTGCACCATCGACTGAAATTTGTGTGCATAAGTCATTCAGTGAACATGCATTATTTACAAACACAGCTGAATGTTCGCAAAGGATGTGTGAGCCAAAACGAGAGCTAAATGCAGGTAACTCATTGGAAATGCATAATGCTACCAGCTCTACAAACATCGCTGTGGATTACACACAGAACGTAAACTTTCCTGCAGCTCATGATTTAGCTGCAAACTTCAGGATTCATCACAAGCGAACATTCTGTCGCGAGCCCCTGACTGATGTAGAAAGAAAAGAGGCGCGACATAGTTTACCATAGGCTATGTCTAGACTGCAAGCCTCTTTCGAAAGAGAGCGTCTAGACTGCACGCGGAACTTTCGAAAGAGCAAGCCGCTTTTTCGAAAGAAAGCACCCAGTGAGTCTGGATGCTTTCTTTCGAAGAAGCCCTATTTACATTCAAGAACGCCTTCTTTCGAAAGAAGCACTTTCGAAAGAAGGCGTTCTTCCTCGTGAAATGAGGTTTACCGCCGTCGAAAGAAAAGCTGCGTTCTTTCGATTTAATTTCGAAAGAACGCGGCTGCAGTCTAGACGCAGGTGAAGTTTTTTCGGAAAAAGGCTACTTTTCCCGAAAAAACCCCTGAGTCTGGACACAGCCATAGTGACTCCATTGTGTTTGTAGCAGGGGTGTGTTTGCATGCCAGGGCATAACACTGTGTTAGATCTCAGGTGCCAAAGCTGCAGGCTCAGGGAGGCATGAGGTTATTACATGCGGCAGGTCATACGCTGTCAGCCTCCACCCCAAACCCTGCTTTGCATCCAGTATGTATAACGTGGTTACATTTAAAACACTTTATATATTTATAAGGGGGGCGTCACACCGAAAGGCTTGCTATGTGAAAGGGGTCCCCAGTACAAAAGTTTGAGAATGCCTGTGATAGATGGTAACTAGAATGACATTTCTGATGCCACTAAAATGGTGAAGACAGATCCTTGCTCAGCTGACATGACTGATGTGTTGACACTTGAGTGGCTTCCTTTACTTCCAACCCGCATAAGTAAATTTAGGAATCCCTTCACCAGTCTTTATCCGTATCATCCATATGCAGAGTAAGCAGCTGCGTAGAGCACCTGAAAATTTGGAGCAACACAGGATCCTAATGTCCGCCCTCCTCTTCCTAGCCCTCTTCTGTGGCTCTGCTTCCTCTGCAGGTGATCTAGCAAACTTAAAAGTGTGAGAACCTGCCAGAGCTATTAGCAGACCCCTGACCCTGTGAACGAGCCACTCAAGTGGTAATGAAGCCATTGAACAGGCAACCCCAGGTCTCTGCTATCAGTTCCTGAATGTACTGCCATTGCACATGGTGCTTGAATGTAAACCAGAAGCTGTCCCTGACTAGGTAAAAGGGAGATATTGTCCTCTCCCCAGAAGAACCCTAGCAACCTCTCTTGCCTCTTTGTGTTCCCAGGTGAAGGAAGACTGGAAGTACGTCGCAATGGTCATCGACAGAATCTTCCTGTGGATGTTCATCATAGTCTGCTTACTGGGAACCGTTGGTCTCTTCCTCCCCCCTTGGCTGGCAGGAATGATCTAAGAATAGCAGCGGAAAGAACAGAGTGCATCCCATTCCATGGATTTTAGTCCTCCTGGAAGGAGACGGGAGGAGGGAGATGGAGACAGTCTTGATGAATAATTTACTGGGTATCTGCGCATGACTTGGTCAGAGCGCTGGGGGAATGCCATCCAAGGTTACATCATTTGCCATCTTCTATATCTGTTTTAAGGGGATGCTGTTATTCACATTTGTACTTCGCATGGCGGCATTCATTGACACGTACACTACAGTGTACAAACGCGGGCGTGGTCACTAAGGCAGCGCTAAGAGAGGCATTATTGACACTCCCATCCTGGGCAGATTAGGTCCATTAGCCTCGAGGGGTTTCCGTGTGTTAGGGCCGCGCTGTCAAGATGGCATAGTTCAGGACTGTGTCCCCCTGTAAGAGCCGTTTAATAAATACAGTTTCAAATTTGGATTCCTGTGCAAGAGACTGTCTGTGTGTCCGGCGGTGGGAGAGGGGGAGGGGGAAGGATGGCTTGCCACTGACACAGAAAGCCAGACCACAAAGAGTGACCTCATTATTTTGCAGCCCAGCCCCTTCCGAGTTATCCTGACCAAAGTCCCAGTGCAGCCGCATCCCTATCAGAGAGTACGGGCCAAGTACAGAAGTCTTTACTCGTGCAAAACTGTGGGAATAAGAGTTTGGCTTGAGTAAGGATGCATCTAAGCCAAGCAAGGACCTTGGACTTTGGCTCAAAGCATGTGTCGATCCATTCACATTAGCCTTTGGCTCAGTTTGCTTGTCTTAACGGAAATCTGCTAGATCACAGATTTCGGCTCCGACAGGAGGCCTCCAGGCCGGCCTCGGTGTCTGGCACAAAGCGTGGAAGGCTTGGCAGGAGCGCAGCAATGCTTTTAGGATGGAAGGAGGGGGAGGGGCAGTTGTACAGAGTGGCCAATTGGCATGCTGGACTAAATTCTCAAAAGCCATCTGGGCTGCCCCAACTGAGACGTCGGGCCCTCGCAAACACTCATCACCGCTGGCCCCTCCTGACCCACCCGCGTTTGAAAAGGGACACAATGTTACGGAAGGGACACAATTGTACCGAAGCCTGGAAATTAAACGGCAGATGTACAAGGTTTTATTTAAATGATGGGGCTCAGGGCAAGTGATTGGGGAGGGGGGCTCAGGGCAAAGGCTGGGGCGCAGGAGTCAGAGCTGGGGCTGGGGGCTCTGTGTGGGGGAGTCACGGCAGGGAGTGGGTGGCTGAGGGTAGGGGTGCAGGAGTGAGGGCAGGAGACGGGGGGGCTCAGGGCACAGGATTTGGTGGGGGGGAAGGGCTTAGGGTGGGGGAGGGAAGGAAGGGTGTTCAGGGCAGGGGCTGGGGGTGCAGAAGTGAGGGCAGGACTGGGAAGGAG